TCCCCCGCCCCCCCCCCCCCCCCCAACCAAAGCATGAGGCAGACAGTGCTGGCAGTCCTGGGAGAAGCCTCAGGGCCTGGGGGATCACACCGGGAACTGGGGAATCAAACTGGGGGGAAGCCTCTGTTCGTTCCTCCAGCCCCCCCCCCAGACCCTGTAGCTTCTCCTGGGGCTGCCAGCACTGCCTGCCTTGCCCCAGTGGGGAAGCAGCTGGAGGAGCCATGGCTTCTCCCTGGGCTCGCATCTCAAACCAGGACTCATCTGGCTGCTCCCCCAGCTGCTCCTACTGGCACTGCCTGCCTGTATAGTCTATGGCTGAATATCTTCGGAGTTGGATTCAGCCAAATCAAATCAGAACAGTGATTCGAATCACCAAATCGAATCGCTGTCCTTCCGAATCGCCAAAGCAGCTGGAGGAGCCATGGCTTCTCCCTGGGCTCGCATCTCAAACCAGGACTCATCTGGCTGCTCCCCCAGCTGCTCCTACTGGCACTGCCTGCCTGTATAGTCTATGGCTGAATATCTTCGGAGTTGGATTCAGCCAAATCAAATCAGAACAGTGATTCGAATCACCAAATCGAATCGCTGTCCTTCCGAATCGCCAAATCATAAGTGAATACTTTTCGCTTTGCACAGGCCTAGCATCCAGGGCTGCTACCCTAGTTGCCCTACCTTAGTTACATTGTTTCTTTACCAACTATTCAAATGCTATGTACAGGAATGACAGCATACTGACTTGATTACTATGTGTAATCAAAATTAGCATTTCTCCTCACTGGCAGGGCATAGTAGAAACTGGTGTGGGCATGGTGGAGGGTGTGTGACTCGGCAGTGTTATGACCCCTGCCAGTAACCCATATTGTCTATGTTTTAGTGTACATAGAACTGCTGTGGGGGTGTGTTATGCCCCAGTCAAAACTTGTTCATGCAGGTAGGTCAACTGCTTTAGCAGCCACAGGATGTCTCTTTGGATCTCTGCCTATTGTCTTTTAGCAGTTGTTCAAAGTAATGCCAACTCTCTCAAAATTATTGTGCAAGTCACAGTTTCTAAGTAAAATTAAGTCCAACTTACAATCCTGCAATGGAACTCTCAGATCTTGGGATTTTTTCTTCTGGCCACAACCAGGGTGGAACCGGCTGCAAAGTCCCTGGGAGCCTGTGTGGGAGAAGAGCCTAGAAGGGGCCCTGCTGTGGGGGCATTCAGGGAGTTGCTCCAGGTCAGCACCAAGCCTGGGGCTACAATGGGCAGGGGGGATAATCAGGGCATATGCATGAGGAGCCCAAGGGAGCGGAGGTTAGAACGGAGCATCTCATGATTTACATCCCAAATCTCTTGACATTTTAAGTTTTTTGTCTCATGATTTTTGACACAGTGGGGTTGGCAGTACTGTGTTCAGCCACTCTTCTGTATTTTTCACGTTTTGGTCTGAATCCTGCATACTTTCACCAGAATACATGTCTCTTTCGCACACTTTCTTTTGTCCCTCAGCGTGACCAATTTTTTTATAATCCTCCTTTCTGGAGGATTCTCCCCGATGTGGATACTGGCAGGGAGCAGTTGTTAGTTTAGGAGACTAAAGGGTGTGTTGGCATTCCATATGAAAGACAAGTGTTGCAGCTATTCAGAAATTTCCGTTACTGATCATACAGCATGTGTAGGGAGGGTGGGATTGGGGTAATGACTAACAGTATTGGCATCTATACTAGAATATGTAGTTTGTGGTTTTCCAATATCTTGTAATTACAAATTTATTTTCTCAGTGTATGCATCTGTTTGGAAACTTAATTTTTGGGTTACTCACTTTGTTGCTTATACTACAATTTTCATTGCATGCATCATACTGTGTGCGTCTACACATGCCATTAATGTGCAGCAATAAATTGTTGAGCTTATTGCTCTGCAGTTTATTGCTCTTCAGAAGCTCCCGGGTGCACGGTTTACATGTGAACACAGACCACAGTGCATTGAGTTGGGTTGCAGCAGCCCCAGCTGACATGGGCCCAGAGGATCAATCTACCAACCTGGGGCTGCTCTGACCAGGCTCAGTTTGCTGCAGAGGGGCTGGTTGGAACGTGAGGGGTGCTTCAGTGTGGGGCTAGCTAGTAGGCAGCCCCTCCACTGAAGCACCGTCGTGCCCCAGCCAGCTGGCTTGGCACCTATACTTACTCTGCTATGCACAAAAAAAACTGTGCACCCAGGAGCAATAAATCCTGCTGCAGAGTTTTTTAGTTTCGTGCACCCTAAGAGGGACGCACATGTAGATGCTGAGAAATTAACTGAGCAGTTAATTATTCGACTGTGTAGTAAATGTTTTGTGTAGATGTGTCCACTGATTCTATCTTTGGCTTTGGGAAAGTAAACTTGTTAGTCTAATTAAAACATTTTCTACCTTCTTCCCCATTTATCGCTTGAAGCCCCATGGTAATCTCATTTTAAGTCTTGTGCCATGGTACACTAGCTCACTCATGGCTGAATGCTACAGTTGCCTGGAGTGGAGGTGGCATTCCCCTTATCAGCATCACTCTTCTCCCTCTCCCCTCCCTGCAAAACCAACAGCTACAGATTTAAACTCTTACAGCCACCTCTGTTAATCCTCTTAAAGCAGGGGTTGTCAACTAGGGGTACTTGGGAAGGCCCTAGGGGATACGCATAGTGGGTAGGGATGGAGCGCTGTCACCCACCACCCTGTGCTTCCACAGCCTCCCAGGAGCAGGGCCAGGTGGAGGGGCTGAAGGCAGCGGTACCCCTCTGTGGGCCTCACAAGTGCAGCCCTGCTGGCCAGCCAGATGGGTTTGGTGGGGGAGCTCGCACATGGTGGCTGCTGCTGCCCCCCAGCACCCCACACTGCCACTGCTCCACATCTGGCCGCACTCTCCTTCCCTCAGGTTAAAAACCCCTGTCTTTAAAGCATTAATTTGGCAGATGTTGTGAGGAGGTTAATCCTCTAGCTTTTGGTCCCTGCAGCAGGAGAGGGAGAGTGGTGCTGACATGGGTATGCCACCCTTGCTTCAGGGTTGTTGGTTGTAGCCTTGTGTGTTCAGACCTGGGTGAGCCAATGTCAAGCACAAGCCCCTGTCACAATTCTGATGTGAAAATCAGTTTCCTTATTTAAGATGCACCCCAGTTTTAGATGGCTCATTTGTGTGAAGTATGTGAATAAATAAAGTGTGTGTTCCAAAATGTTAGAAGGCACTCAAACTCCATGGGGATCGGGTTCAGTGTAAGCCAGCGGTTCCCAAACTCTGGCAAATTGTGCATCACCAATTTAAAATGATACAACCTTAAGTACCACCAGCAAATTTGTGTCACATAAAGTCATTATAATGAATCTGTTAATGCATACCACTGACAGGCTGTCTGCCTACCACTGGTGGTATGCATACCACAGATTAGGAATTGCTGGTGTAAGCACCTAATCCGAGTAAATGCACATGGTGTTTTTCAGACTCAACAAAAAAGAAATAGTCATATAAACTAAGAAAACTGCAGTTGGAAATTAGAAGTTGGTAAGAAATAATACATCACTTTTTATAATTCATTTTTCCAAAGCAAGATTACACTTAAGTCACCATCTTTTCTGGGGGTTTTATTTATTTATTTTATTTTTTTGGTTGGTTGGTTTTTATATTCCCTTTTGAATTGCCCTTGTCAAATTCAGAACATTGACATTTTATTTTTCTTCCAGGATTCATTTGTGATGTTCTACTGTGCTGTTGTAAGGAAGAGAAGAGAGTCCTTTGCACATTGACATTTGGAAAATCTGCTAATGTTTTTCAAACTAACTGAATTATCATAGAAAATCATCATGGGAGGAGCTGTGAGTGCTGGGGAAGACAATGATGACTTAATTGATAACTTAAAAGAAGCTCAGTATATTCGCACTGAGAGTGTGGAGCAAGCCTTCAGAGCAATTGATCGCGGTGATTATTATCTTGAAGGATACAGGGACAATGCTTATAAAGACTTGGCTTGGAAGCATGGAAATATACATTTATCAGCACCTTGCATTTACTCTGAAGTCATGGAGGCTCTGAAGCTTCAACCAGGATTGTCTTTTCTAAATCTTGGTAGCGGAACTGGATATTTGAGTACAATGGTGGGATTAATATTAGGTAATTTCCTTTTTATTTTTCAAATTTCTTCAATTGAAATAGTGTTGTAATTGATTTCAGTTCCTTAGATGATCATTTCAGCATTTTTACAAGGGTTTTCTATTAAAGTGCTATAATTAAGTAATGTAATGGAACAAGCATAAACTTGAACATGCGTTCTGAATGCTGTAAAATATTTAAGAAATGGTAGCTAACTTTTCATGAAAAAATGTTTTAGAAAAACAGTTGTAATTTGTCCATCTTGTTCTTCCTAGTGTTCTTTGATTCCTAAATTGTTTTTTACATGCTTGAAGCAGAGGGTATATAAAGGATTATCATCTTTCTACAGTACTAAAACTTGTTAATGATTCATAAAAGTATTCTCTTCAAACAGGACAAGATATTTATTTACTTCCTAGATGGATAACCTGGATTAAATTAGGAATATTAATATTTTTTATTTTTTGTTATATTTGGTGTGGTTTATAATCCAGCGTAGCTCTGTAGTTTACTTGTTTCATTGTAAGTGTATCTGATTGTGCTCCTGAATGAAAAGACTGTATGATGCTGACTAAAGTTACTTTAAAAGCCCACTGTTTGAGAATATAGAATTTAATATGTATAAATGACAATGTCAAGAATAACAAAGGTGTACCGAGTAATTTTGGCAATGAAAATAGCATAAGCTTCCATAAGCAGGAGGAAAACTAACCTTGGAATCCAAAGTTGTACAAAAGGTTATTAAATATATTGAAAACATGGCTACATAATGACTGTTATGGGGGGCAGTTGCATATGCAGCTTCTACCTTCTTGCTTCTAGCTTTTAATGGTTTGAATCCTAACATGAATACTAATGGAGGCAGCCTGGCAGTTTCAAGGATTATTGACTCATTTCAAATGTTTTTGTAGATGATTGTGCATCAAAAATGCACTAAAATAGAAACTTGGATGAAAATTTATTTTTTCATTATGGAACAGGTTAAGTGCTCATTTTCAGTAAAAAGAAATTCTCAAATTTGCTACCTGTTTCTAATATCCTTTCTGACAGTTTCTTTTATGTTAGCTGAAATGAGCTTTGCGAATGCACTTCTCTTATTACCTGTTTTCTTAATAGTGCTTCCTTGAACCAGAGAGCTCATCTACAGTTACAAAAAACATTAGAAAATATACATATTCTGTCTGCTAGTGTATAAAATTCCAACTCTCACCATATTGGCTTATTGACTTTTATAAATAGGGTTAATGAGTGGTAAAACTTCTAAGGGAATTGGAAATAATCCAGAAGAAAGGAAATCTGTAACACACTAATTCTGTAAGTCGCTCCCAAGTGACTTTTTCTTCCAGTTATTGTAAATCAGTGAAACAACTGAACCACTGCTCTCTCTTGTGGTAACAAATTAGATTCTTTAATCAAAATAATAAGCTGGAATACTTGGGATCAGGGGTTGGTAACATACGGTCGACCACAGGCTGAATCCAGCCTGAGGAGCTATGGTATCTGGCCTGTGGGCCAGAGGACTTTGCCTGAGCCCACATCCATGCTGGAATTGGGCAGGGAGGAGGGCCAGGCAGCTAGAAGCTGTGTTCATGCAGCTGTCACTTTTCTCTGTTCTCTACCTCCTCCCCACCTCCTTTAGTAGTTTCTGGCCAGTGGGGAGCTGTGCTGGAGCCATATAGCTTCCAGCTGTGTCTGTGCCACACTTCCAGCTGCTTGGGGCTAGTTCATTTCCCCACCTGCTGGAAGCTGGGTCTGGACTGCATCCAGGGAACTTGGGGGTGTAGAGAGGCAGTGGCTGCACAGATATAGAAATGGTAGTGGCTGCACAGATAAAGTAGCTGTCCCAGCTGCTTGTTCCTGATGAGGATGCAGGCCAAGCCCCCTGTCCCCTGCCTGCCTTGAATGGTAGCTGGGTTGCTGCAGCCCATGGCTTGTAAAGGTTGCTGGCTGCTGATTTTGAAGAAATCTTCATTCATTGTTACGAATTCAAAACTGAAACATGGTATTAACAGAAACTGGCTCACGAAACATCCTTTTCCTTTTCTCAAAGTTGACTTTTGATGGAAATGAGGTACTTTTATCAACGTGGGAGATACCAAACAACAGAAACTTCACTGTAACTGAGTTCTTCCATAATAGTTAACACATGGTTTAATTATAGGATACTTTCCCTTTTATTCTCTGCTAGCTGGATGCCTGCAAGCAGAGTGCAGTATTTAAATATTTGTCTAATCACTGCAAAAATCAAGATGATTAATTGCATCCCTTCATTGTTGTGTGTGTGCTTTTATTTATTTAATTTTTTTGGTTTAACATTACCATTGGCTAGGGTCCTATACACTTTTATCTCTACTTGAAGCTGTATTTAGCTAATTTAACTAATCTCCAGGAAGCTAGTAGATGGATGATGATTGCTGCCTCATCTGTATTCTCATCCAGAAAAGATCTTAATTGTTCAAAATTCTAGGAAGGGAGTGTGGAGGAAGACAACGTTGTGAGACTGATTTCGAAGGTGACTTCAAAATACCAAGCATCTATAAATAAAAAGGCATTGAGAAAATCTGCTATGTCCTTCAGAGATGTAAAATATAACACAAAGACATGTGAGATGAAACACATGAAAAGAGTATTTTAAATAACTGATAGAGAAGGAAACTTAGCAGTTTTTTAAAGCTTCATGATGATTTAAAAAAAAATTCCATTGTGAAGGACGCTAACTTTATTTCTGAAAGTTAAGTTGGACATAATTGGAATTTTTTTTTTTTTAAACTGGTATAACCATCCTCATAGTTAATCCACAGTTTGGAAACCCTAGTGAAAACAGAATGTCATAAGCTTTATTGTTTCAACAAAATACAGAAATATTAGAATATTATGATTTTGCTGTCATGTTTATCCTTCACAGTGTAATATTGATTTGTGGACAATTAAAGTATCACTGTACTGATTTGATAAGGTTAAAACATAATTTGATATTCTTCATAATTGCCTTGTGACAGTAAAAACTACTCAATTAGAGTATTCCCATGGGTTTGGAGCTAGATGGCACTAACTTTAATTGAAAATATATAAGAATGCAAACAGTGCCACAGACGCAGGAAAATAAAGGTTAAAGTTGACATGAATTAGCTGAAAAGCTGCTGTCATGTTCTAGGAAAACAGTTTGCTTAGACAATGCAGCTTATTTTTGTAAGAGTGGTTACTAGCAAGTGATACAAAAGATGAGAGAGGCTGTAACACTGATTGCAAGTAGTACACGGTGAAGTAATGAACTAAATTTATAAAAGATGGAGAAGACCTACTGTTGTGAAAATGGGTATATCCCTTGCATGACTATTTTTTATTTTTTGTAGATCTATTAACTGGGAAAATTCTAAAGTTCCCTCATCACATCTCTTATGCATCCATTTCGTTTCATTAGGTACAAGATGTTTTTAGCATAAAGTTAAAACAATAAATGTTCTTCTGGTAGTAGTTTTGTGTGGTACTATTGCATATTAGGTCATATACCACATGGGAACTATGCGTGTGCTTTGCGGATTTACAACAGAAAGTATTATATTCAGATTATGTAAAGTCAAAAATAGTTGGGCATTTGTTCTCAGTACTTCTACTGGTGTTCTTTTAAGCACTTAGGAGTTTGTCTTGAATAATTTGTATTACAGAAATAATTTGAAAAGCTGCTTAAATTATTAATTAATAAAGTTTTGGGCTAAATTAAATCAGATCTAAATACTTAGGATGCACATTTAACAGAGTTAATGGAAAACAACCTCAAGTTAGTACGCCATGGAAAGGTGCTCTTTTTTCCCTGTACTTTCTGGCTATTAAAACGTAGGGGTACACTGATAGAGATTTTTGGGGCCGATACTCGTGGCCGATTTTTAAGGAGACATATCGGCCGATACCGATCCAATTTCCAATACCAGTCCAGCAGCTTGAAGAGCAGTGTCCAGTTGGTAAGTCTGTTGTGGTGGAAGGGAAGGGGTGTGGGGGAGGCAGATTGAAGCCCCTGTGGTGAGGGAGGAAGTGGGGCTGAGGCAGGACAGGGCATGGGACAGAGCCACAAGCGGTTTATCTGGGGGGCAGGGGGGCGCAGCTCCCACCTCTGTGTGCACCCCGGGAGGTCATGGTGGGGGGCCATGTGCCCCTGGATCTGCATGGGATGGAGTGGGGCGGCTGCTGCTGTGGGTTGGAGCTGGGGCAAGCTCTGTGCCAGGGTCTTCCCAGTGGGGGCTTGGCTGGGCTGCACTTAGGGCAGGTGATGACCCTGGGAGGGGGCTGTGAGGCAGTGCTGCAGCCACTCCAAAATTCGCCATAGCCCCCCCCCCCCCCCCCCACCCCACCAC